CATTTGAGGGGAAAACAAAGAGTTTTCCCCTCAAATGGTGTGGCCCCGCCCCCAGCGTGCGACATCACTTCCGGGTGACGCGCGCACGAGTTAGACGCCGGCCGGGAGCCCCACACTCCCGGCCAAAATTCATTTGGCAACCCTCGGTGAGCGAGAAATTTGGCTACTACATAAATTAGTTTGCTCTGGAGCCATCCTTCCTGAGTTAAGACAAAAATGTGTGAGCTGAAAGCTAAAAAACACTGAGCTAGCTCACGCTAACTCAGCTTAGAGGGAACACTTGTCCCTGAATGTATTGTAGACTCTAGGCACTGTGCTACTCTGCCTAATTGATAAATCAACCCTGCATCCAGCTGGTTGCCTTGGCCAAATCGCTGGCCTAAGAGGCCAGTGACCTTTATTACCTCTTCCTCTTTGCCTACACCTGTTCTTGCCCCACCCTTCTGACTCCTAGTCACAACCATGCAGAATAACCAGGGGGCTACCGTGTCTCTGGGCCTTGCTCACCTCGCAGTGAGCCTGCCCTCCGGTTGCTTCCAGCAAGCTCAGCCAGTTTGGTGTCGTGGTTAGGAGCGTGTACTCTAATCTGGGAGAACCGGGTTGGATTCCCTGCTCCTTCACATGCAGCTGCTGGTGTGACCTTGGGGCTGTCACAAGTTCCTTCTCTCAAGAGCAGTTCTCGGGCGAGCTCTCTCAGCCCCACCTGCCTCACAGGGTGTCTGCGGTGGGTAGGGGAGGGGAAAGCAGATTGTAAGCCACTCTGAGACTCCTTCAGGTAGTGAAGGGCGGGCTATAAATCTAATCTCCTCTTCCTCGTCCTCCTCCTCCGTCCTATTCTCCCCTGCTGAAGCCTGCCCTGGTAGCATAAACCCCACCCCTGCTAGGCCGGGCCTGCCCCACCACTCCCAGTCTTGTTGCTGAGTCAGACTGCTCTTGGCTATTGTCATCTCTGCCCCCATTGGGAAAACCAGGAAGGACACACCCAGGCGAGGCTTTGCCTGTGCAAGTAGGGGAGCCCCCCCCCCCGTGCTATCCCCACACACCATGTCCATCTCCTTCAGGACGTTCTTGTGCCAGGAATCTGCCCCGGAGACTGAGGACTGCTCGAAGTCTCTGTGAAGGGACCTGGGCGGTGTGGCCGGGACGGCAGGTGAACACACGGAGCTGCCTTATACTAAATCACTGGTCCGTCAAAGTCAGTACTGAGAAGATCAGACCACTGGTCCGTCAAAGTCAGTACTGAGAGCCTAAGTCAAGACGGGGAGCCCTGTGAGTCTGCCTATAGCAGCTGAGAGGACCAGGAGTCCAGTGGCACCTTCAAATAGGGTTGCCAGCCTCCAGGCGGGACCTGGAGATCTCCTGGAATTACAACCGATCTCCAGATGACAGAGATCTGCTGCCCTGGAAAAAATGGCGGCCATGGAGGGTGGACTCTATGTAAAGATACCCCACTGAGGTTCCACCCCTCTCCAAGCCCTGCTCTCTCCAGGCTGTGCCCTCAACTCTCCAGGTATTTCCCAATCTGGAGCTGGCAACCCGACCTTCGAGACGAACGAGATTTGTGGCAGGGCAGGAGCTTTCCTGAGTCACCGCTCACATCTTCAGAAGCCATGTTGGATCAGGCCAATGGCCCATCCAGTCCAATACTCTGTGTCACACAGTGGCTATGACCCAGAGGCCATCAGGAGGTCCACCAGTGGGACCAGAACTCCAGAAGCCTTCCCACTGTTGACCCCCAAGTACCCACAATACAGAGCATCACTGCCCCAGACACAGTGTTCCCTCTATATGTTGTGGCTAATATCCACTGGAGCTGCGGTGGCTCAAGTGGTTAAGACGCTGAACTGCAGGCTGTGGAAGGTCAGTAGCTCAGCAGTTCGAGACCCGGGTGCCGCATGATGGAGTGAGCTCCCATCTCTAGTTCCAGCTCCTGCCAACCTAGCAGTTCGAAAGCAAGAAATTGCAAGTAGATAAACAGGTACCACTTCGGTGGGAAGATAACAGCATTCCGTGCGCCTTGGTGTTTAGTTATGCCGGCCACATGACCACGGAAACGTCTTCAGACAGCACTGGCTCTTCGGCTTTGAAACAGAGATGAGCACCGCAACCCTAGAGTCGGATTCGACTGGCTTTCGAGCAAGGGAACCTTTACCTTTTTAATATCCACTGATGGACCTCTGCTCAGACTGGCAGTGGTTCTCCAGGGTCTCAGGCAGAGGCCTTTCACGTCACCTACTACCAGATCTGTTCACTGGAGAAGCCAGGGATTGTACCTGGGTCCCACTGCATGCCAAGCAGACGTTCTACCACTGAGCCATGGCCCCTGCTCAGGTGTGGGAAACCTGCTAGCAAATTGCTTGGGAAATCGGGGAATTTTTACGTCGGTGTTTAGTCATGCCAGCCACATGACCATGGAAATGTCTACAGACAGCGCTGGCTCTTTGGCTTGGAAATGGAGATGAGCACTGCCCCCTAGAGTCAGATTCGACTGGCTTTCGAGCAAGGGAAACCTTTACCTTTAATATCAGGGTGCTTCAGTTTGTCTGGGCCAGGAAGTCGAGGGGACGTTTGAAGTGAATCGGGCAGTTTGGATTTAACTGCCAGGTGGGGAAATTAAGAAGAGATTGGATTTATGCCCCGCCCTTCACTTAGAGTCAGAGCGGCTTACAATCTCCTTTCCCTTCCCATCCCCACAACAGACACCCTGAGAGGTAGGTGGGGCTGAGAGGGCTCTCTCTCGAGGACTGCCCTTGAGAGAACAGCTCCGAGAGAACTTGTGACTGACCCAAGGTCACACCAGCAGCTGCATGTGGAGGCGTGGGGGAATCAAGCCCAGTTCTCCCAGATTGGCGTCCGCGCTCCTAACCAGGACATCAAACTGTAGAGGTTGAATTGTGCTTGCACTGGTGTTGACCCTTGGCATGATTAGAGGACAAAGGACCCAGAGTGCCTGATGGCTGTGTCTGGGGAGGTTGATAGCTTGATGAGAAGGCTGATTACCTGCCGGATCCTCCCCTGCCTTACGCCATTGATCGAATTGCTGAGATTTTGTTGGAACCTTAAGTGGGGAGGAGGCTGAAAGGATGGCCTTCCGGGAGACCCCTTTTGACACAATGGTGCTGCATCTCTATTGACATGCAAGAAATGCCTTTGGGCATCTGGGACTCCTAACCCATCTTTACTACTATTGTGTGCTCTTTCAGTAAAGATGCCAACAAAAGGTCAAAGCGATGGTATTCCCAGTAGACATGTATGGCTGCGAGAGTTGGACCATAAGGAAGGCCGAGTGCCGAAGAACAGACAATTCCGAATTATGGTGCTGGAGAGGACTCTTGAGAGTCCCTTGGACTGCAAAGTGATCGGATCACTCAATCCTACAGGAAATCAACCCTGACTGTTCCCTGGAAGGCCAGATGCTGACACTGAAGCTCAAATACTTTGGCCACCAAAGGAGACGGGAGCACTCACTGGAGAAGACCCTGATGCTGGGAAAGATTGAAGGTACAAGAAGGGGGCGGCAAAGGATGAGATGGTTAGACAGTGTTATCGATGCAACGAACATGAAACTGAGCAAACTCCGGAGCATGACGGAAGACAGGAGGGCCTGGTGTGATGTGGTCCATGGGGTCGCGAAGAGTCAGACTCGACTGTGCGACTGAAGGACGACGACAACAACAACAAATTCAGTAAAGAAGGAGACGAAATGAGTATGTTCATGACCTGTGTAGAATTCGGAGTAAGACCCTCTTAGGAAGGCACCAATAGTCAACAGCTGAAGCCATTCAATTACGATTCGTGTTTGGACACTGCAGAACCATCTAATAAGCAGTGCTTTTGGTTTAGTAGAAAAAAGGGCATTTTCAGAGGACAATTCTGTGTTTCTGGTATTTTGAAAGAACAAATTCCACCTGGCTTTTCAAAAGGAGGGCAGCTTGTTGAAGAAGAATCCAATACAACTTACAGTGGCCAGAAGAGAACCACCAGCAATGTATAAGTGAGTTTTGCAGACTCAAAGGGGTGTGGCTCGGGAAGTCATCCTTGTTGTTAGAAGAGAGGGGTTAAAGTTAGGGATATACCAAGCAGTAGTATAGGGCAGACTGAAGATGTTTTCCAATTACATCAGAACCACACAAGAAGGCTTTATACACAGAGTACTGTGTACCGAGGAGCTGCGGTGGCTCAAGTGGTTAAGACGCTGAACTGCAGGCTGTGGAAGGTCGGTAGTTCAGCAGTTCGAGACCCGGGTGCCTCATGATGGAGTGAGCTCCCATCTCTAGTTCCAGCTCCTGCCAACCTAGCAGTTCGAAAGCAAGAAATTGCAAGTAGATAAATAGGTACCACTTCGGTGGGAAGGTAACAGCATTCCGTGTGCCTTGGTGTTTAGTCATGCCGGCCACATGACCACGGAAACGTCTTCGGACAGTGCTGGCTCTTCGGCTTTGAAACGGAGATGAGCACCGCAACCCTAGTCGGATTCAACTGGATTCAACTTACCTTTACTGTGCTTTATAACAGCAGGAAGGCGAGTTATGCCTAGTTCCATATTGGCCACTTGGAGGCCCACCCACTTTAGTTGCCCTCTAACATTAAATCCCAGAGCCAGGAGGCAACATCAAGGGAAGCCTTTGGTCCTTCTGCCCTGTTGTTGGCCCTCCAGAGGAACTGGTTGGTCACTGTGTGAGACAGGATGCTGGACTAGATGGACCACTGGTCTGATCCTGCAGGGCTCTTCTGATGCCCTTATGAAGGCCTCAGGCTCTATGCCTTGTTGTTGGCCCTCCAGAGGAATTGGTTGGCTACTGTTGTGAGACAGGATGCTGGACTAGATGGACCCTCACTGGTCTGACCCAGCAGGGCTCTTCTGATGTCCTTATGAAGGCCTCAGGCTCTCTGCCCTGTTGTTGGCCCTCCAGAGGAAATGGGTGGGCCACTGTGTGAGATGGGATGCAGGGCTCTTAATCTTCAGTATGTGAGAAATAAACTTCTAGGCCTGAGAAAAGGAACCCAATGGGTGCTAATGGGTGCTGCTGCAATCCCATGCTGATTGCTGGAAGATGGATGGCAGTTAGCATGGAGAACCCAGCTGGTGGACCAGGTGGGTTGGGTGCTCCGGGTTGGGAAATACTTGGAGATTTGGGGTGTGTGTGTGTGTGAGTGGAGCCTGAGAAGGACAGAGTCTAGGGAGGGACTTCAATGGGGTCTAATGCCACAGAGCCCACCTTCCAAAGTGGGCAATTCCTCCAGGTGGACTGATTGTCAAAGCGGGAGATCTCCAGCCTTCACCTGGAGGTTGGCAACCATAGGTCCAAACCACCCTGAACAATAGACCACAGAAGACCAGACCTTCCCATAGTGAAATCTGGTCAGCACGGTCTCGAAAGGCGACTCTCCTTGGCCAACGCTCCCTACAGAGCGAAACGGCACTGAACCCGAACTCCTATTGACAGAAGCCGGTCCCGGGTCGTCCTGACATCCAGGTGGGCGTGGCCACGCCTGGCCACCCCCCCGCCCTCCTCCTGCTCTCCCCCCCCTCTTCCTGTTTTCTGTCCTTTGGCGCAGGCGCAATGCGGCCCTTTAAACGTGCGCAAGAAGTCCCAGCGGCCTCATCCCCTTGCTGCTTGAATCCTTCCTCCTCTGCTTTGGGGGGGGGGGAGGGGAGGACTTTCCCCTCTTCCTTCCTCCCACCCTCGCCACCGCCGAGGCGACCCCGGCCCCTGGAGTCCTACTTTCCCGGGGGTTCCTACAAGAGGATTTTTTTTCTAGACGGGTGCGGTGGCGCCGGGCGGAGCTGCCCTTGGCATCTTGTGCGCGTGGGGGGGGGGGAGGAGG